GACCTAGTTTCGACGGACGCGCGGAACGGACGTTTCCTCGGATATTCAATGGAATATTGGATTATCAGGAAATTGCCCAACTTCGCGGTCCATTTACAATATCAACCTGCTTGCATTCGGACAGTCACGCGATTTTGTCCGAAATGAGCGGAGTGGAAATTCCTATGAGTTTAAAGATCTTCTTGTTTCCAGGAAGATCTTTAAACTCATAGGAATGTCCGCCAACCAGTCGGCCGATCTAGTGATGCTACCTTTACAGGAGTCGAAAATATGATTCGTTTCTCATTAAAATTTATAGGAACAATGAAAAAAGGAAGAAAAACTGTTCTTGGCAAAGTGCAGTTCAGTCGCTTCGTAAACATAGGGTAAACAATGATTAAATATGAGAATACACACTATGACTTGCCTGCCTTCGAGAGCTATTGTTCTCATAGTAGACAACCATGTTTCACGATCATCCACAGTACAAGCTAGATACAACTCAATACCTGAAATAGTTTCATACCCCATTGAACAGCTTGAACAAGAAGGGACCGAAAGAACCATTACATCAAGCTGGTCACGAGAGACTACCAACCCCAAACAAGACTTTCATTCGAAGTTATCCCTCAACTTTAAGTAGTTTTCCAAGTCCAAGCTTCTTTGAGAGAACGTTCCCTGAAGATGAGCTGCATAGCTTTCGATTGTGCCTAATCATGCTCATCAATTGGGTCCTCCTTTAATTAATAATTATCTGTTACATTCACTTAACAACCCCATGAAGTGTAAGGACTTCTGTGACCTCCCACCTTGGATAATGGACTTCTGACCGTTCCGAGAGATGTGGAAGGAGAGTATTGGACCTAAGGCCCAAAAGAATCACACGGTTGGTGGGTATCCTCGAAATGATCTTTAGGTATGAACTTACATTCACAGGGCGACCCGCCTACCTAGTTTCAAAAAACTTCTGCAGTTTTTTAGTTGAAACTTAATTGTTTATAGCTCTATTTCCAGGCCATCCCACAAAGGACTCTCTTCAACCTAAACTACAGCAGAGAAGTATACATTCCTTGAGTACTGTTCATTAGCACAGGCAAAATGCACTCCTTTTCAGTGTCACCTGTCGACATAGAAATTTGATCAAATGACGGTTACTGCCTATTGTGCCATTGCCATTACAAGATTCAAAAGTTGAAACCTTAAAGAACCTTTATCATAGAGCGTAACACGGTACATTGGCATGTAGTTTTCCCAGCAAATCGCCCCACCAATCTTTCCTAACGGCGTGTCGAATACCTGTAAAACGGCCATTTAGTGGAAAAATCACCACTCATTCGAATTCCAGGCTTGATCAAAAATACTAATCAAAAAATGGAGTACTGGCTCTAGCATGGCTAGAAAATGATTGAAAAGTCATTTCAAAATATCCAAAATCTGATAAGCATGTCTCTTCTAGGAATTATACATTTTTGTCTGGTGAGAGCTCTCTACGTTCATCTACTTTAATCCTTGAACAAAAATTGACTTTGCAATGAGATTCCGCCAAAAACCGTCAAAAACTAACCGGCATAGTCGAGCCGTCTCCATTTCCCCAAACACATCGTTCTAACGCTGTCGGCATCAATTTCCGATGTTTCCCCATGTATCCATCAGGTCCGTAGTAGAACATCTATGAAAAATTGTTAAGAAAAATTCTTGATATGCTGCAATGCACAAGACATAAGGGCTGAGTACGTTCACAGAATCCGTTGTCAACCCGTCATCTCATTTATCTCTAGACACTTCTACATAACGGATCGTCCGGAGTGTCACCGGGATCGTCCCGCGGATCATCGATTTGCACGAGCAGAAGTCAGTGACGTCTATATTCGCCCATGTCGCGAACCGCCACGGTCCAAAGGATCTTCCTCGCGCGATGGTTACGAGTTGTATCATCCCTTTTATTCAGAGCTTTCGTGGAGAAGTCTGCAATCGCGCTGGTGGCCACCTTGGTGTATGTTTTACGTTCCGATGGATCTAGCTAGTTGCAGCGGTCGTCACTATATCGCATAACGTGCTCGGCCTTCCTCATTTCCCG